ATTTAGAGCCAGTGTTTGTCCATTCTGAGCTACTGTAGAAACATGGTGGTTCAACATGGCGGACTCTGTAGCAGAGGACCCGCTCCCTCTGTGGATAAAAACGTCTCATTCTAAGGTAACACAACAATTCTTAACACAAAAATTCTAATTTTGTGATTATATACTAATGAAAACATACCAATGACAATTAAATTCCATTTCTGCCATTAGATTACCCTAAATGTTACAGACTGGACCTTTAAAGCAAACTCCACATTGAACAGCTGTAAGGCTATGCAGGCTACATGCTAATTAATCCAATAATATAATAAATGAAGACTGACAAGCGCCATTCTGTCTCTATGACTACTTTACTTTTGATACTTTCAGGACAGTTTGCTCACAATACTTTTCTGCTTTAACTGAAGTAGCATTTACAAAGCAGGACTTGTAATGGAGTATTTGTACACAGTAGTATTTCCACTTTTACCAAATTAAATTGTGTACAACATTAAAGAGAACACTAATAAGAAATTTAAGAAATTTTAAACCCACCAGGACAAAAATCACCAATCAGCAGAGGAATTACATGTTCATACTGATCAGTGAGCCAACATATAACGCTCAAGGCTTCTGGGTAATTAGATATCACAACTCACCTTGCTGCTACATCACGGCCATTTCATGTGGACTAAATTGCCTCGATGTCTATAAAATCATCAAGAGGCACTTCTCCTGATTTACCAACATTTAATTACCTGGCAGTCTGTTTAAGTAGTATATATAAAACCAGTCACTTAAACACACACACACACACACACACACAGTGCATATGTTTGCTGAATATTACATTATATTTAATATTACATTATATTTACTTTACAACATCAATGATTCCCCAGCATAATTGCTTCATTATCAGTGAAGACCAGAACACACATCAAACCACACGTCTCTCTAATCATCTATTTACTTTGGAATATATACTGCCTCTCTCCTCCACATACTATACCCCATCATCATCAAACACACACACACACACACACACACACACACAAACATGGCATTGCAAACACATACATGTCATTACCATGAGCATACATTAACCAGAGAGAGTAATATTCCAGGCAATGATGGTCTTTAAGTGGAAACCATTAGAGGGGATTTAAAGACCTCCTGTATATGAACTACTTATTTTCAAGTGTATCCCTCTCCCTGACCCTAGACAGAAGTCTTACTCTTACTGTTTATTACTGAATACTTTTAGAAATAAATTTGAAATATTGTTTTAAAGAACTCCACACTTTAAGACACTGATGGCTTACAGCAGAGGAACAAACCAGTACTATAACAATTCATATCTTTGATAGATGATACAATCAACTACTTCCTTGTCCTTTACTTTAGAAAACAAAATAATAATGCTGTCCATATACTTTCTTCTAAAAATCAATGCATTATAGCTTGATTGCCTGCTTATGCTATCCTATCCTAAGGCTGTGCAGCTGTTGTGAGCTGAGCAAAGAAAACAGGCTTCCTATCTACACAATGCACCATCCAGGGGCAGTCTGGCTCTCCGCAAGAAAGCCATTTAATCTCCAGTAGTCTGCATGTGATCAATCTCCCAGCACAGTGTTACTGCAGCGCAGGCCATTCCTCATCATTTAGAGAGAGAGGTATTGACCAGGCCAGGACAGCCTCCGTAGTGCATTTGTGTGTGTTGTGAGCCAATGGGAAAGAATGAACACAACTGTCCAGTGTATAAAATGCATCCTGTGTTTGTTGCTCTGTTGTGTACTTTAACATGTATGTGCATGTATGCATGTTTATGAAAAGAGAGTGTGTGTATCTTAGGGGCAAAAACAGCAGGATAACAACCGTGTGTATGTTTATACAGTCTGCTTGTTTGCATATTGATGTCTTGTAGGCTGATACAGCTGGCCATAATCTATACTTATCATCAATACATCCTTAGTTAGACATTCCTGCTTAGTGGCTCACATCAAGAAAACAGGCACCAAGGACGAGCACAGCATTGTTAATGAGCATCAGATGCAATTGGCTTAGCACAGCGATGCAAAAGGAGAAACAAGGCGGCGATGAAACTACTCTTAGATGGGTAGCATCATTTAAAACATGTCAAGTTAAAGATTCAGGGTGATCAATCATTTAACTAGAGAGTGGCTGCAGTCATATATTATAGTGTATAGATGTCAATGAGGACAGTTGATCTGTCAATAAACTATTACACTTCTTTCCTGCACAAGCATCTGGGAAGCCTCGGGCTATGAGACAGGCATGACAAGTAGAGACAAGGTCTCACTACATCTTATTTGTGTAGGTCATTTAGCCTATCTGCTTGACAGATAAAATGTATGACAGGCACATTTCAGTTTTTTAAGTGTCAGATAAATTGCACCAGTATGATTTGTGAAATGATAGTAGCGCCTCGACAAATAAATTAAATGACTGACTGGATTTTGTGTTCCTGTCCCGCACTTATCGTGAGGTTATTCAGGCGTCAGCTCCATGGACTTCATCCCCCACACTGCCTTGGGGCCACGTCAGATTTACAGTTATCCATGACAGGCCGTTATCAGGGATTTGGAGCGGGACTTTGCAGAGTCATCTAGAATATTGGCTGTATCGTTTTTATCCCCGCTCAGAGAAACAGCAAGAGGCCAAGGTTGGGATATCACAAGTCACACATGGAGAAACTTTCAGATGAATAGAATCAGTGCATAGTGCATACACACACACACACACACACACACACGCACACACATTCCTGACATCTCCTGCTGGGATCATTGGGTAGCAATGCCCTGTCATTTCAGCGTACGTAGACAGGAAGCCGACTGCTGTGGCTTTTGGGACACTACACAACATTTCTCTGCGACTTATCTGTTTTTACAATTACATTTTCTGACTGAAATTATGACAAGGTATGCAACAATGGTTACTCCTCAAAGACCCTATACCTATAAAACTATTTGAGCATGTGAAATAGAGGTTAACTTGCATACATTGTTACAAAGTTTGACTTTAAAAAAGAAAATCACAAAATAAGAAATTTTGAGAAACATTTTGTTTTTCAGCTGATCACCAAAGGGAATCAGCAGGTTTTATTTTCGTTTTCACAAACATTCTGGATGTAAATAAACTTTGAAAACGATATGATGACATACATCGCATTGATGATCAATTTCAGACTGTAAGTTACAATTTTCAGTATGATATCCTTTTATTTACGTTGCACCTCTAATGTGGAGTCAGTAATCCCATTAAAGGCAATTTAGTCAACCCAGGCACTGAACATATTTACTGTAAGATAGTGCCTCTACTGGGTTAAGTGTAAGACATAGCGAGAATCCAATTCTTGAATTTGAGCTGAGTGCAGAGTGTTGTTTTCCACTGCAGCGTGTTCACTCATCCCTGCAGGCTGTGTTTAAAAGCCATTACTCCAGCTAACAGACCGGTCAGCAGGCCTTGGATGTGTTTAGTGATGTGTATTGTCTGCTCTCTCATGACATTTGAAGTGCATAAATGGACAAAGTGTTCATGCAGCGTTTTATTTTTTGTCTCTGTATGGGACAGTAGAGGCAGCAGAGGCTGTGATGTTGCAGAGTCGCAGCTGTGAGCGATTCATAATCAATGCTATGATTATGTCCTGGCAGTGAGTCTGAGGCAAACGTGTGTGGACGATTCCTATGATGATACACCAAACTCATAACCTCTGAACATGTAGGGCCAGTCTCAGCACAGTGCTCAACCTCTGTACACGGTGA